TTAAAAATGGCGCCAAACAAAAGAAGTTTTTCATTTTTTTGACATTTTGAGCTCCGATAGCTCAAAAAATTCAATACAGATTTTAACGAAATTTTGTGATTTATTTGTGACTATAAGGTACTTCTAAAATAACAAAAAATATTTATTTATTTTGCGATAGATTTTGAGCTACGCTGTTTTGAAATCGGTGAAATTTTCAAAAAATTCATTTTTTTCTAGATTTTTTGTTCAAAATATCCTTTGATTCGAGACAATAACATTTATTTTTTTTGTTATTACATTGTTTCACTGATATGCACAAAAAATTTCATCAAGATATGTTGGCTAGTTCAAGAGATATAGCGTTCTACGTAGGTACAAGTTTTGAAAAAAATCGCTCAAAAATTTGAGGATGCTGTCACAAAAATCTTCATAACTTGAAAAATAATTGAAATTTTTTTATAAAAATTTTATTTTGTCGATGAAATACATTGAGGTACTTACTGTTCAAATTTTAAAAAAATCGGAGATGGTCGGGCGTGGACTTTTTTTTAAATCGTTCAAGTTGACGGAGAATGACCGATATATATATATATATATATACATACACACATATTTAAATATATATTACATATATACATACATACATACATTGTAACTACTATCATTTTAAATTTTCATAGCCGCCTCATGCAAACAATATGTTAAAAATGATTATGTTTTTTGAAACGCAAAAAACAGAGGTTGTTCTCATGTGGGCGTTGTAAAAGCCTTAACAGAAGCGGGCATCCCCATTGATATGATTGGAGGGACGAGCATTGGTTCTTTGTTAGGGGCACTCTGGGCCCAGGAAACGGAATTCACACCATTTACCCAAAGAGCCAGAGAATTTATCAAGGTTCACCAATATATGATATTTTTTGCATTCTGTTAATCAAACTCTGTCAGACGCAGAAAAGGTAACAACATACAAGGTATGAAAGGTATGAAAATAAATTATGATCATAGAACGGATAAGATGCATTTAGTGGGTGTAAAATGAAATATTATGGAGAAAATATTGGTGAAGACATGTAGAGAAAATGAAACTGTAAAATAAATATAAGTGGTATTTTAAATGGTAATAACAAAATGGAAGTACAAAATAAATATATGAGGTAATGAAAAAATAATAATTATAAACAATATAATAGATTATATTGTTTATAATCATGCTGATGTTACTTTCTGCTTTATACATTTTTACACATCTCTTTTAGTTAAAGTTTATTCATATTTGTAAGAGATATATTTGTTAGGAATGCGACGGATTCAATAAATCAGGATTCGTGGAATCCGGATACGAATTTAAGTGATGGGTTCGAAAGGATCCGAATCGGGTATTTATTACCATGCTCCATCCTAACTTAGAACACCGAGTAGAATCACAAATTTGGCGCTTTATGGTTGAAAATTATGGCCTTATTAAAAAATTGAGATGTGTTTTTGGCTCTGGTTACAAACACGTGTTGAAAAAAGTTAACACGTGCTTCAAAAAAGTTTATTAAGTGTTACTTTTTTGTTTATAGTTGTAAATATTCAGTTTTTACTGATCCTCTACAGCGTTGGATTTGACGAATTCGAAAGCTCGGATTACAGGATTCAAAACAATTGCATTCCTAACATGTATATAGGTTTATTCATATTTGTAAGATACATATGCAGATAGATAAGTTTTTAGTTGAATAATTTGCTAATTGTTTTGTACGAAAGGGTATGAACTCACTGGGAAAGAAGATATTTGATCTTACATACCCTGTCACTGCTATGTTCACAGGTTCGTTATTTTAATATTGTTATTTTATTATCAGTAACAACTTTTATAACGATGTTATTATTATTTTATTTTGTACTTTGAGATACAACAGCTGTACTCAAAAGTCAAATTATTTTCATAAAGGTTCCTTCTTAAACCAGGACGTTGAATCAGTCTTCCAAGATACACAGATTGAAGATTTATGGATACCTTATTTTTGCATAAGTACAGATATAACGGCTTCTAAGATGAGGGTTCATACGCACGGTCAGTAGTCGGTTGCTCTTGTTCTCGAGGTTTTCGTCTCGATGTTGTTGTCTCGAAGTTCAGTAAATGTGGATGATAAAGTTTTGTTATTGTTAGACTTGTTGTAATGTTATCTATTAATGATACATGCTGTATGCTGATCTGTGGCTGCTTGTCGTCGCTGACATTGTGACGAATGCTAATTTTTTTTTCTCTTTTTTACTTTCTATCACGTTTTATGATTTTTATATTGTAACTACGTCAAATTATTTTATTTTCAACTATGGGTATTCAGTTCAACCATATTTAAACGATAAATGTTATATCTACATTTTTAGTTTTTGTCATAACTTTTATTTTCTTCGTTATCATATTGTTATTATTTTCGTAATGATCATCATTGTATCTTGTCATCGTCTTCGTTATCATCATGGCAGGAAGTTTATGGCGCTACGTCAGAGCTAGCATGTCCCTCTCTGGGTACCTGCCTCCCATGTGTGACCCAATTGATGGTCATCTGCTGCTCGATGGTGGATATGTTAACAATTTGCCCGGTACCTTCTTAATTATATTAATACAACTACGTCTACTGTGTGTACGTGAGTTTGCGTGCGTAAAGCAACAGCAGGTGCATACCTAAACGTACTAAATAAAATAAAGTAAATGAAAATTATTTACTAGCCGACATGATGAAGGTCATGGGAGCACAGACCATATTTGCAATTGACGTGGGCAGTCAAGATGACACTAACCTCACAAATTACGGTGATGAACTGAGTGGATGGTGGTTGCTGTGGAAACGGTTTAATCCATGGGCCGTACCAGTAAAGGTTTTATTAACTATTCACTTAAAAGCTGGTGATGTACACAAATAAACATGCTTTTGTGTTAATACTGATATGTTGTAGTAATCATACTTGTGGGCAGAACTTCGTTTATGTTTTACTTGGAAATGTTGGAGTTATACGTTCAATTATATTCTAGCTTGCTTTGCTATTTGTACGCATACTTCATTTGCTTGAATTTACGCGGTATATTTATTGTCAAAATATTCGTGATGAACGAGTTAGCTCAGTTTGTTAATGCACCATGTCTCACGAGGCTATTTTCGATCTTAAACTAAAAAACTGTTAATTCTAAGCTAAGCGCATGTGGTTATTATTATTATTATCAGATAACTTATATAGCGCCCATTAAAATGATCTCACAGGCGCTCTCAATAATTTTGGTGATATGGTTATCACTAGGCAGTTATTGAAAAAAATTTATGTCTAAAGTCGCTTTTTGAACTGGGAAACGATTATTTCGGATCTCGCAAAGCATACGGTAGATATCTTCGCGCCCGAAATCTCAAAATTTTGCGATCCTTTTTTTAACATTGTTACATAGTTTACAGGTTAATTTTGATTATCTGATCTTAATCCCACCTTCACCACTAGGATGAATTATAATATCATCGATTCTAGTATTATATCCAGAAACAATTAAGTAAAGGGTGCCTCCAAAAATATGGGTTGGTTCACCTATGACATTGCGCATCGAGAACGCATCCAACAAATCATTTAAATAATATGATGTACATCCTCCGCTCTTTCAACATGAATGCTAAAATCCCCCAATTTGATTACATAATCACTCAAAGATGTGATGTATTCCATTATGGATAACAAATTTTGTGTGTGCTGTTTGTTAAAAAATATAATTAGTTTTTAGTTATTATCTCAAGTCTCTGTTATACATGTAATAGAAAAACAATGGTTACAACTGGAAATCAAGGCTCCTAATTCATAAAATTTATTAAATAGGCTGCAACAATTTAAATGCTTCAAAAGAAATTTACTTTAACCTGATAATACCACAACGTGTGGTTATTATTGTGCAACACTAGGCATTTTTCATTGCAAAAAACACAGCTTCTTCTATCTCCGGTAATTAAAAATTATTATTTATAAAAAAAAGAATTAAAAAGCGAAAAATGAGAAAAAAAAAGTTAACCTCAGTAAGCCCATTATTATATGCAAAAGAAAACAAGCCACATCAGAACAAGATATATTTTGTAATTTCTACTTCATGAACAATTCATATATATATATATATATATATATATATATATATATATATATATATGTTGGTAATAGACCATAATTTTTACAATATTCTATAAATTCTACCGAATGTTATTCTGTTATATACCAGAACAGCAACTACACGCATCTTAAAATTGCAGAAGCAGTCCTAATTGACATCAATAAACCAAAAATAAATATACAACAAAAAATGACAACCTCACTTCCAACCCGGCGCTTAACCAACAACGAAAACAAAGAAGTAATAAAAACTAGCATTGTAAATAGTGACAAAGAAGAATGTGATGCTATCGATGAAGAAAAGGAGACCAAAGAAGACGACCAGCCAATAAAGAAACCTGACACCTAATTTCCATCTAAGTTCACTTTGACAAAGCCAATCTCCATTTTGACAAAGTCAATATTTTCCTATATAAACAGCAGAAAGCACTGATGATGATTCATTCGGAATCTAAATATGGCCTTATTTGCAGCATGAATTCGGAAAATAAGTTTATTTTGAATTTTAATAAACTAAACGTTCTCCAAAAAACTTTAGTGTGAAAAATTGAAAAAACGAACTACAAACATGTTAATGCCAAACATTCGGTACAATTTATAAAATATTGTAAATATATATATATATATATATATATATATATATATATATATATATATATATATATATATATATATATTCTGAACATTTATATAGCGCCCGTTATAAAACCTCGGTTTTCTTACCGGCACCATCACAAAATAAAAGTTCATAAAAAAAAAGTACGTGGAAACCAAGCAAAATAAATTAAAAGTTCAAGATTCAAAAGTATTTAAATTAATAATAATATTATTATAAACATTTATGAAGCGCCCATTCGCACAGCTGCTTCAGAGGCGCCAGGAGCCCGTGTTAAAAAGATGAGTCTTTAATCCCTTTTTGAAAAGACTCAACGAGGAACATTGTCTTAAATCAGGAGGTAACGCATTCCAGCCATACCGAGCAGCCATGCGGGATCCGGCAACGGGAATGTTTAAGAAACCTGCCGAGCCGCTGCGGAGTGATCTAGTATGTTCATGTCTAGATATGAGGTCGTATAGATATGTTGGGGATTTTAATAAAAGGGTTTTGAAGGTAAGGACTACAATTTTGAAGATGATTCGAGCGAAAATTGGAAGCCAATGAAGCATTGGAAAGAGAATGGAAGAACTAAAACGAGGAGGTTTATTAAATATAAGTCTAGCAGTTTTATTTTGGATAGTCTGTAGTTTTCTGACAGATGCACGTGAGGCCCCATACAATATGGAGTTGCAGTGGTCTAATCTAGAAAGGATCAAACATCTGCAAAGGGCAGCAGCAACATCACATGTAATCATATGTCTAATATGTCTTATTGCGCAGAGGTGATAGTTGCAAGATCTGACGATTTCTGTTATGTGTTTATCAAAATTTAGATGTCTGTCAAAAGTGACCCTAAGCAACTTGATCGAATCTGAGATAGGCAATGTGGACCCTGCTATGTCCATTTCCTCGAGCTGAAACCTCGACAGTTGTTGATGTGTCCTAATGACCATAATTTCAGATTTATTGGGGTTGAGAAGAAGAAAATTATTAGCATACCACCGACAATCCTCGCTAGTACAATTGCTTAAGGCTCGAATGCTGCTTTCAAGATCGACAGAAGTGACAGATGTATGCAGATGAGTGTTATCGTCGTAGTGATGAGAAAATAATCCATTTTTACTAAAAATGTCGCTGACAGGAGACACATAAGTAGTGAACAAGATTGGACCGAGGACGGAATCCTGAGGGACTCAGTGTCAATCGAGCAGGTAGAGGAAGTATGGTTTCCCAGCTTCACAAACTGCTGTCTGCAGCTCAGGTAAGGGTTAGGGTTAAGATCTAATCAGTGATTAGGTAAGATCTAATCAGTGGATCAGATCAATTTCGTTAGTTATTTAAAACGATTGCTGGCTCCACACCGCGTCGATTGTTGCTGTTGTTGAATGGCCATCCCCTAATTCTCATATCCTTTCACGATCAACGATCTTTCATGAGTGACGAGACTTAAATACTTAGCGTCAGCGCATAGTCGGAAGGGTGTAGACGGCTGCATCAGGTCTGACATCATCTTGAAGGCAGGAAAACATGAGATAACCTTAACTAGAATTAATTTAATATGATCGAGTACATCAGCCGCTACACATTTAGTCACATTGCTGATGTGAAAAATTCTTTTTCGGACAAAGAATTTACTAGCCGATATCTTAGAGTCATTTAATGATCTCAAACCCACAATGATTTTAGATTTTGCGAATGTTTTAATTGCAGAAGATAAAACACGTTTTGAACGTTATTTTTTTTAACTAGTTAAAAACTGTCATTAGCACTGTATCTCATCATTGTTTTCAATATTTTTTTTTAGAATAAAAGTTTTTTGTTCAAGCGCTTCAAAATTTCGTGGACGGTGCGATGAAACTTTAACTTCATTAACATTAATTTTAGCTGTCTGGCCTGCTGGTTTTTGTAAAACACCTGACAAATCACCTTTAACTGATTTGTCAACAAGTTGCTTAACATTTACTTTTATTTCGTTCAATATGCTGCTATTTTTGTTTAGCGAATCCACGATTGGTTTCAAATCGCAATTGGTTTCAAATCCGCCACTGGTTCCAAATCTTCAGATACAGGCGCAGCCATTCGCAGTTGCTCACATTTCACCAAACTGTCAAAATCGTTAGTCACAAGTACAGGAAATTTATTGCTAAAACCACTGTCGTCAATGAACTTCGAGGCGTCAATTAATTCTTTAAATCCCTGTTTTTTATCAGCGTTGGACGAGAAGTACGGCAAACTAATTTGAACGGTTTCAGCTTCACGAAGCAAAAACGGAATCTTTATTATTATACTTGTTTCATTTAAATGGATTGTTGCAAAAAAAAGATTTGACAGATTTAGATGCACAGAATCTGTACTATTTCAAAACATTTTTAGGTGCCTAACATGGCAGAGATTCAATCGCGACTGGCATACGTGTCTTGCAATCGTCAAATGGAGCAGGTAAAGTCGAGTGGTTACTGCGAGTACATCAGGCCTCCAATTGATAAATACAGGACGCTTCAGTTCGGAAGTTTTGAAGAAATATTGGTATGCTATATATTTAATAAAGTTGCATAATCATAATGTAATTTTTTTTTGTTTTTTTGTGGTTTTTCAAATTAAGGTTTTCAGTTTTTAACAATTTTTATTTTTTTGCAGATAAAGATTTCGATCAGTCATTTATTTTATCAGTCACTGTAATTTAGGATAGCTGATTCTCCAAAAATGTTGATTTTATATATTTAATTACATTATTTACTTAAGTAATTTTCTTTATGATTTTATGGGACCAATTCAGATAACTTTTGCGCATCATTTTTTGTGTGTGTTTTTTATGTTTTTGTGCAAACAAATTTACAAAAAAAGTTGTGTACCTCGACAAGATCGAGATGCACTCTGTGTGTTAGATGGTGTGCTCTAACCAAACTTAACCAAAAAACATTATGGTTGACAAAAACGTAGACTATGACTGTTGTATGTTGTTAAAAGCCAGTACAAGTGTGGATCTCCGATTTAACCTCTATTGCTGTTGGTTGCATTGCATTCGTTGTTGATTTCCGTAAAGGTTTCTCGTGATTCATTAATTAATAGGTCGATGCATGTGCCTTACTGAAATATTCCATAACTATTATCTTTAATCGAAATTTGTTTCAATTATTGCGACCTATACATAATTATTTTTGATCAGGACGTTGGATATGCACATGCCAAGCTGCTGTTCAGTGAATGGGAAAAGACGGGTAGAATTGGAAAGATATTTCTTGAAAGGAATGAAGTTTACAAGCCACTCTTGGATAAGGTTTCTATTAATTTCAGTGGAAATTTGACTTTTTTGAAATGGTTGGTTTGTTTCATTTTGTGTAAAAGCTAAGGGAAAAAATATTTGCAAGCAAGAGATTTTTTTTAAAGTATCCGCAATTTGGTAATTTTGAAACGTGCCTTTGTAATGTTTTTCATAAACGTAAGCAATTATAATAATATGCTGATGAAGAGAAGAGGCATGCTTGCGGATGTTGAGTAGTATAGCGCAATGATAGTAATAGTGACGACGAATTGTTTAGAAAATAAGAAATTTTAATTTCAAACAAATTAATTTTAACTGATTAGTTAATCACACTAATCAATAAAGAACAGCATACCGGCTGAGGCCAACTTTACTGACTTGGCTGAATTGATATCTCGAATTGAGGAACCTGATATCGATCCAACCGCAATGGTTTCACATTCTAACGACTTTTTCAGTGGTTTCTACTTATCAGAAAATGGTGATAAATTTGGCACATTTTCAATTTTTGACAATTTTACAATGTTTAATCTTTTTTATTTTGTTTTTTATCTTATCTTTATTTGTTACATTATTTTCTATTTGTTGATATTAAATGTCTGCAAATTGTTGCAGAGAATGACGATGATGACGTAACATCGGTGACGTCTGAACCCATAGTGTCCATGAATTCTCCCACCTTTCCAAACCGCATGAGGTCGGAATCCGAAGGGGCCACACCAGACAGTCAATCAGCATATGATGAAGAGGAAGATGATGATGATGATGATGTAGCCAATAATGGCGTCGGCATCTCTGATAGATAGTATTCATCTTGTACATATATATATATATATATATATATATATATATATATATATAATATTGTATTATATATATATATATATAATATATACATAGGTATACATATTTATATAATATTATAGCATTATTAACAAAGAATGAAATGCGTGCTATATAATATATATATATATATATATGTGTGTGTGTGTTTGTGCGTTTGTCAGTTTGAAGCTTAGTTCAAGTTTAAACCAAAACTTTAAAAACTATAATAATGTCTAAGGTAATTTTAAATTTCAATATCATATCACTCAAGTTAATTGTTTAAGCTAAATTTACATAGGATAATCTTGAGTCAGCGTCATAACATAGATTGTTTGGTTAACATTGAGTTTTTAGCACGTGAACAACTAGGTTGTCAACTGTAAATAATGTTAAACGGCGAAAAAATGTTTTGTGTCTGTTCATTAATGTTTCTGTCAATTAATTAGCTTCTCTACACGATGCTATCAATCAGTTAATTCGATTTATTATAATTAATTATATTGCGTACACAGTGACGAGAACTTTTTTGAAAAAATCTTGAAAATTTTAGATGAAGACTGGAAAATTAAAAAATATTTTTACGTTTAACATAAAACTATCAAGAAAGTTATTAAGCAAGTGACAAGTATTATCGGTTTTTTTCTTTTGTTAATCTCGTTGCATTATTTTTTTTATTCTTAAATTTTCACAAAATAATTTAAATATCTCCATCTGTATAATACTCAACTTGACTAATGCATGGCTGTAAGCACAGCGTCACCACACTGATGTCCTATTTTTAAATGTATTTATGTTGTGATCGCAAGTATGTATATTTTACGAAATGCATTCTCTGATCAGTTTTCACTTCTCGTATCTTCCACACATTGTGATTTAATTTCGTTAGAAGCCATTTTTAATGGTAACATAACATTCCCTAGCTTTCTTTTTGTGCACATTACTTAATCACATTATTTATTTGTCATTAGCTATATGCTGTTATGTTTTGATAACATTTAGAAGGGTGAACTTTTTCAGTTTTTAATATTATTAATTTGTTATATATCTTTGTCTGACTTCATTTTTCATAAATCTTCCATTATTAAAAAACGGGTTGAAATTTAGTTTTTTTTAAAGATTAAACAATCAATAAAAAATATTGGATAATTTTAAGGCAATAAAATGAAACTTACAATACCAACAAATCTTAACAACGTAAAATGTTTATCAAAATTGCCGGTTTACATTAAAATGTAGTTCAAAACATGTAATTAATCAACTGGTGCTTTAGATAATTCCTTCTTAATTTTCTTTGTGCTTTTTGGTCCAAACCCTGTATGAGTGTTTAAGTGTCTTAAAAGATGATGCTTCAAATTGAATGACTTGCAGCATATATTGCAAATAAATTTCTGTTGTGAGTGTGATTTCTTATGATTGTATAGTGATGATGCATTCCCATATCGTTTATCGCACTGATCACATTCATATATAAAGTCACCAGTATGTTGGTGCTGGTGCTGTTTCAGTGCATGTGGACTAGAAAACTTGCGATCACACTGCAAACAGAGATGTCCTATTTTCAGATGAACCATGGCTTCATGTCGTTTAAGAGAGGCACGATCTCGATATTCCTTGCCACATTTTGGACAAAGATGTGGCTTTCTTTCTACTGTTACGGCACCTAAATCTCTCAAATGCATTTGAATGTGTTTTGGCACGCTCGTCGAATAACCTAATCTTGCGTCACAGGCTGGACAGCCATAAGGTTTAACAGAGTTGTCATGGTTAAAATAATGATCAAGAAATTTTTGTTTTGATCTGAAACTTTTTTCACAAAAGTGACAGACATAAACTTTGGCATCTCCCTTGCCCCTTAACAGGGCAAACATTTTCTTTGTGCTTGAAGATTTTGTCTCATCAAAACATTTATTTCTGTCATTCATCAAGCTTCGAGGTATTTTTGATATTTGTTTGTGATGTTTTTCTAGATTAGGCGATTCAAGCTTGATTACAGTGTGGGTGACATCTGCCAGGTCACCATCTCTGATTTTGGCCAGTTCAATTTCATCTAAATCAATTTCATTTTTATTGACTACTTCAGCTTTTTCTTTCATCTGTGTTTGTCCTTTACAGTCAGCTGTATTTTCATCTACAAAATGTTTCAATAAACTCATGAATGAAGATTTTTTTCCATTTGGAGTTTGTGGTTTTTCAAGACAACTGAAAACATGTTTTCTGTAATCAATATGTCCTAAAAATATTTTTTGACAGTAATCACAAGACATCTTAAATTTATTTTCAGGATCAATTTCTCCTGAATGAGTTTTTTCATGATTTTCTAAAAGATTTTTATTTTCAAAATGATCAAGACAAAAGATGCACAAAAAATTACTGGAATATTTACTTGTGAAACCTTTATTTATAGAAATATTTATTTCATCCATGGTATCATCTGACTCGCTTTCATCTTCAGCTATTTGAACTCCAATGCTATGCTCATTCTTTAAATGTCGAGAGAGAAATTTTATATTTTTGAATTTTGAGTTACATTCACCACATGTAACTGCTGTGTTGGATGTATAATTTTCATTGTCATTACATACTCTACCACACTTGTACACATCACTGTCACTATTAGAAATGCAATCAATTGCTTGTCTAAGTGTAGACGATACACTGTGGTTTCCAGCACATCCATAATTTAGATTGTTCTCATCACATTTGTCACAGGAAAAGTTGATGAAATGGTCAATCAAACAAATTTTTTCTGCACTCACTTTGTGACCTTTGTAGCAATTGTAAAAACCTAAATGTAGAGCTGTGTGAGATCTCAAAAGTGATGGCAATGAAAACAGTTTTGAACAAAAACTGCATGATAAATATCTTTTTTCAACAGCTATGGTTTGAGATAATGGAGAATTTGTTGGTTGTTTACTATTTTTGTGTAAAAGAGTGTGCGGTAGGAGGTCAGTTAAGCTTTTAAACTCCTGATGACATTTTAAACAGGCATAGTGTAATGCGATGTGCTGTGTTTCAAAGTGATCTAGCAAATTATCGGAAGAATCGAAGTTTCTTAAGCAAAATGAACAAACATAGTGAAAAACTTTGTTTTCATGGTTTTGAACAAAATGATCAATCATATCCTTTTCTAAATTGAATATTATATTGCACTGATTGCATCTCAATACTTTTTTATTTCTGGAATTTATCCACTGAAATGGCATTCCACTGTTTTTTGTCATACTGCAACTCACTTTCTTCCTTTTAATTTAATTTTTATATTGAGTTGATTAAATTAAGAAATGTTCAAAATGTAAACCTAGTTTCGGAATTGACTTTGAAATTAAAAGTAATAAAAATAGCATTAAAAATTAATATTATTTATTACTGCATTTGCCATTCTATTCTGTAAAGCTTTTTAAACTTTTTTAATGTCAAAATATGGTGTTCACCTGTTATTAATCTAGCTAGTCCAGTTAATTAAACGGTAAACTTAAATGAAATATGCCAATCAAAATGGAATCAATGACGTTAAAATGCTCTCTCTATCTCTGTGATGTTCAATTCCGCCTTAAGCAGTAAGGATTGCAAACGACAGCTTCCCTGTAGTGTAGGAAATGTATCATACATGTATAAAATTTTAATACAAAAGAAACAGAATTAATTTATTAATGATTTAATTTAATAATCACTTACGATATTGTCTAAATTAATTTTTAATAATAAAAAAATAATTCGCAGAAAAAAAACTATTATTTTACCAGTATCTGGACAATTTTGAAGATGACGAAGTCACTTAAGAGAGTCTATCCATATCGTTTGATAAATTTCAAAACCGTAAACTTTAAAGACGAGATGGAGTGAGCGACTAAATCAGCGATTGTAGATGCTCCTGCCATGTCTGTCGAGTATCGGTATCGAGCAAAGATATTTATTTGTTACGGTTACGGTATCGCAGCAACTACTTTGATCACTAGTGGCATGAATGCATGTATGTATACAAATGTTATATATATATAACTGTATATACAGTTATTAAGAAATATCAGTATTTTACGTTAAAACCCATATAACTAAAATAAATATAACGGCCTTCGCTCACTTTTAACGGTCAAATAAGGAGCATTTTCCGAAGGAGAGTTGGAGGGTGATTTTTTATCATTCGTGTCAAAAGTTACGATCGTTTAAAACCTTAATATCAACATTTTAATAAATAACAGTCCTAATAGCAATTCACTTTTAAACTTATTTATGAATTAATCGTCCTCTCGTTTTCGCTTTTAAATTTCGATTGCGTTGAGATTCTAAAGTAAAGTTTTCCTATGAAAAGAACAAATAAGCAGGAAAAATGGAAATGGGGATAAAAAATAGGCCAAAAACAGCCATTGAGGCATTGGCAGAATGCAATTCCAGCCTAATCCAAATATTCAGACACTGTTAACAATTATAACCAGTATCAACGTCAACAGTTGAAAAACGTTTTTCAACACTGAAAAGAATTAAAAATTATTTGAAAAATAGCTCTGACGGGGAGCGAGTCACTTCATTGGCACTACTATCGTGATATATCTATCCAAGTGGACAGCAACATGATTTTGGACTATTTAATTTTAATATTTAATTTATTAAATCAAAAAACATGTCGCTTGTTTAAAAAAAATTAATAAAATACAATTTACTTTTGTTTATAAAATTTTGTTGAGTTTTTTTATTTTGTAAAGAAAAGCTGATTTGATTGGATTTGTTGTCTTTTCCTTGATTTTAATTATAAAAAAAAGGATTCCGACAGCCCGCCCGCCCCCCAAAAATAATCCTGGCTGCGGCCTTGCATGCACAATATATCGATTTGAGCACCGAAGATGGTCAGGTATAGGAATACCGAAAAAACCTTTTTGTTTTATTATGCATAAAATAAACAAAAATTTTGTTTTTGTACTATAGAAACTTGAAAATGATTTACGATCAACTGTTAGAAAAATCTAAACGTTAAATTGGAAGTTAACTAACGCCGAACAAGCTTCGGTGTTCAAATTGATATGTTGTGGTTGTGCCCAGGTGCTCAAATATATAGTATATACTGTGTCTCTACTCTACTTCGTTGATTCCTTGTTTGTTTAAAGTGAATATTTAGTTTTACAATCTTAAACATCGTTAAATATAACACTTTTACGTATTTTCATTAACGATAAATATAACACTTTTATGTATTTTCATAATCGATAAATATAGCACTTTTACGTGTTTTCATTATCTATGATTCCTTTGTTTCTAAATTTATTGCTAGGAAAAATTCCAATTGCCCGTTGTTGAATATTTATTATCAGATGTCTTTGTTCTATGAGTATTGATTTGGCTAGTCGTAAATTATAATGGTTATTATTG